TAGAGAGAGAGAGAGAGAGAGAGAGAGAGAGAGAGGGAGGGATGAGTAAGAGAAAGAATTGAAAAGTATATTAGCTTAATATGAACTCACTTGCATTACGTTTCTTTTTGATAATTAATCAGCTAATATCAGCAATTTATTTTGCCCTCGGGATATGAATCGTTCGGATATTCTCTTCGTGATAACTTGCTTTCCCTCAGGTGTAACTTTCCTGTGATAACAATAAGCATAAACAGTGATAATCTTCAGGCTAGATTAGTATTCATTGATAAAAATTGTTAATTAATGATTTGCTATAGCATTTGGGCATTTGATAATAATAATAATAATAATGCTTCATTAATGGGGGTAGAAAAAGAGAAAAAAGAAAAAATGAAATGATAAATTTACACCTTAATGATAAGTAAATTGAAGGAAAAATTTAAAAAAAAAAAGCCAAAGAAAAAGAAAAGATGCTTTATTACTTTGAAATTAATGCAAAATGAAATTACAAAAAGGAAAAAAAAATTTTTTTTTAAAGAGAAAGTTTCTCTTTTTTTTGAAAGAAAAAAAAGTTTTCCTTTCTCTTTTTTCCTTTTTTTTCTTTGGTTAATTAAGAAATTTGCAAATTAATTACAAAAATTTGTATTCTTTTACTTAAATGAAAAAAGTAAAAGGTAAAAAAAAAAAGTCAAAACGCAATTTTGACCTTTTCAATTTGCTGCTTTCTTTTTTTTTATTTCTTTTCCACTTCTTTTTTTTCGTTTTTACTTAAAAATTAACATTTGAAAATTATCAATTTAGATGAGAATTATTGAGATTTACCTTCATTCTTCACCCCCTCCCCCTTTCACACATATTGCCCTTTAACCTTTCCATTATCCTTAGGCTACTCTCATATGTTTTACGAGAATAAATTATGCCTTAAGGGTTTTATTTACAATTGCTGAATAACATATCATATCATCCAAGAAAATAATAAATTATCAAAACTGTTTGATACAATTGAATGTCACATTTTTCTCTGTCGCCAACAATTCATACTTTCCCTAACTTATAACCCGAGGCAAAGTAGCCTGGGGACATATATGTATGTGCACGTATATATGTGTGTGTATGTGTATGTGCATGTGTGTGTGTATGTGTATGTGTGTGTATGTGTGTATGTGTGTGTGTGTGTGTGTGTGTGTGTGTGTGTGTGTGCATGTTTACTGTGTCAAACGAGGTACATACTATATCATCCTATCAGGTCTACTAAATTCCCCTAAAGAAAAATGATTCCTTTAACCTTTATTAGTAATTTCCAAGAAAAAGAAGAAAAATATGCCGTTGGCGCTTTTACAAGAATATCCGAAAGCGTTTTGCTTCAAACCATAATACCCTAATCATAAAGCACAAAATGGTGTAACTAAAAGAAACCCCCGGGGAATGGATGGGGTGGGACAATTTGATGACACCGGTCAAACACTCAAATTGTTACCTTTCAGGTATATCAAACTAAATACAACCCATTATTGACTACTACTACTACTACTACTTCAAAACTACACACACATTTGGTAAGATCATTGAAATCATCGTCACTTAACAAAGGGTTACAAAGAATTGGACAAGAAGGGATGCGGAAAGAGCGGGGAGATGTGAAAAGGGAAAAACGGTGGGAAAAAGGATAAAAGAGGTGAAAAAGAGAGAATAGAAGGGGGAGGGAATGAAATGGCGGGGGATGAACGGGGTTAGCAAGGAAAATGTGGATGTGAAGGAGGAGGAGGAAGGGGGAGGAGGAGGAAGGAGAAAGATAAAAAGGAAGCTGAAAGTTTGAAAGAACTTCAAACTAGTAGGACTGCAAAATTGATGAACAAAAAAGGTGTCCACCTCCGCTCATTCTCTTCCTACCCCTCATCCTCCCACTCCCACCCACGTATCTTTGTGCCTTTTTGCGGAAATTTTAAACCGTTTATCCAATATTCTAGTTTCGTGCCATTTGTTGAGTTTTGTGAAATGAATGCGACAAAAGATGAGATGTAAAAGGCGGGGGAGTGGTACAGCAGGTAAGGATAGTGGACCGCGGAAGGCGAATATATGTACATCTTGTATGTGTGTGTGTGTGTGTGTGTGTGTGCGTATGTGTGTGTATGTGTATGTGTGTGTGTGTGTACGTAAATGCGCATTTTATTTTTGGATTTACGTTCTCGAGCATTATTTGATATGAAAATTGATATTTGGT